GCAACACACAGGTGGTGGTGGTGTGGTGGTGCCTACACACAGGTGGTGGTGGTGGTGTGCCTACAACAGGTGGTGGTGGTGGTGCCTACACAGGTGGTGGTGGTGGCCAACACACAGTTGGTGGTGGTGGTGGTGCCAACACACAGGTGGTGGTGGTGGTGCCAACACACAGTTGGTGGTGGTGGTGGTGCCTACACACAGGTGGTGGTGGTGCCACACACAAGTGGTGGTGGTGGTGGCGGTGGTGGTGGTGGCAACACACAGGTGGTGATGGTGGTGGTGCCAACACACAGGTGGTGGTGGGTGTGGTGGTGGTGGTGGCAACACACAGTGGTGGTTGTGGTGGCGATGGTGGTGGTGATGGTGGTGGTGCCAACACACAGGTGGTGGTGGTGGTGATGGTGGTGGAGGTGGTGGTGGTGAAGTATGGGGAGAGGATGGAGGTTGGGGTGGGGGTGGATTCCCTTGTACGCCATAGGGGAACGGCTGCATGTTGGCGCGTGGCGAAGAGGGGGGTGGGGGGGGATGGTGGGGAATGGGGGGGGGGGATCACCAAAGCCGCGATGTTCATTTGCAGGGAGATTCCGAGCCCACGCAATGTACACACTCACACACTCTCTCTCACTCTTACTCTATCACTCTCCCTCTCACATTCACCCTCACACTCTCTCTATCACTCTCACATTCACACTCACTCTCTCTCACTCACACTCACACACTCTCTATCACTCTCTCACTCACACTCACACACTCTCTATCACTCTCTCTGTCTCTCTCTCACCCTCTCTCTCTCTCACTCTCTCTCTATCACTCTCCCTCTCACACTCTCCTACATTCTCTCATACTCTCACACCCTCACACTCTCTCTCATACTCTCACACTCTCTCTCTCACTCATTCTTACGCTCACACTCACTCACACTCTCACACTCACACTGTCACACTCACTCACTCTCTCTCACTCTCTCTCTATCACTCTCCCTCTCACATTCACCCTCACACTTTCATACTCTCAAACTCTCACACTCACACACTCACACTCTCACACTCTCACTTCTTTATACGCTCTCTGCTCCTAGACTCACACTCCCCCATAAGATCTCCCTCCCATACACACTCGCCCAATCTCTCACACACACCCCCTCTCTCACATTCACTCTCTCTCTCACTCACTCTATCACACACACACCACACACCACACACACCACAATCTCCCTCCATCTCTTCCCTTCTCTCATACACTCATACGTATTCGCTCTCCAAAACTCTCACCATCTCTCCCCCCACCCATCTCTCACCATTCCGCCCCCCCCATCTCTCACCATCTCCCTCCCATCTCTCACCATCTCCCCCCCATCTCTCACCATTTCCCCCACCCCACCCCCCATCCCTAACCATCTCCCCCCCCATCTCTCCCCGTTTCATCCCATCTCTGCGTCTCTCTCTCGCCGTCTCTAAAAATCACATCTCTGGCTCCTCCGTCTCTCCCGCCCTTTCTCTCACCCCCCCCCCCTCCCTCGCTCTCACAAGTTTCCCTCTCTCCCCGTCTCTGACTCACCTCCATCCCTCTCCCCCGGACTGGCACCCCCCCCCTCTCTCCCTCCCCCCCTCTTTCCCTCTCTCCCCCCTCCCTCCCTCTCTCCCTCCCCATCCCCCTCTCCCTCCTCTCTCCCCCCGTCTCTCTCCATCCCTCTCTCCCTCCCCTCTCCCCCTCTCCCCCCTCTCTCCCTCTCTCCCCCCCTCCCTCTCCCACCCCCCTCTCCCTCCCTCTCACGAGGAATCCCCACCACCCCCACCACCCCCACCACCACCCCCACCGCTCCACTCGCTGACGCGCACAGCGATGTTGGCGAGCGCCTATTACATCACCCGTCCCGTGGGTGGGAGGAATATCGACGCACGCCGAACGCACCCCCCCCCTCCCTCTCACCCTGCTCCCCTCCCCCACAAGAGAGATACAAAGGCGGTCGAGGGCTGTACCGCTGGGCGATGCCGTCTGCCCGTACACGTGCGAACGTCACGTGATAAATTCAACATTTGACGGTTGAGTCGACCTAGGGGTGGGTGGGGTGTTGGGGGTGAAGTGAAACCGCTCGTGGCTGAGACCGCGGCGGCGAATCGAGAGCACCCCCCCCGCCCCCCCACGTGTCGGCTCGATCCACTGCTGGATGAAGGCGAGGGACGAGGGGGGGGGCAGTGACAATCCGGTGGGGGGGGGGGTCGGGACGGAGACGCACAGACACAGGACCCATCGACTCGCGTGCGATACGAGACAACTTTGCCGTGAGACTCGGCCGCGTGTGTAGTTCACGCACGGTGGGTTTAGTGTGCGTCTCTGTGTGTGTGTGTCAGTGTGTGTGTCTCTGTGTGTGTTTGTGTGTGTATGTCAGTGTGTGTGTGTGTGTTAGTGTGTGTGTCTGTGTGTGTGTCAGTGTGTGTCTGTGTACCGTTCCGGCCTTCATAGGTGCTCGCTAACAGCACTTGCCCCTACAGTCTGTTAAGGCTATACGGGGTATCTTTGTCTTTGTGTATATGGGGAGCGGTGGCGATATGGTTAGCGCGCTGACGCTTAGAAACCCCCTGTCCTGAGTTTGACTTCCAGCGACGGCTTACATCAGTGGCGAATATTTGCACCGGTCCCAGAGCTCCCCGAGGTCGACTCAGCCTTAAACGGGTCCCTGGTGCGGTGTGTGGGGAGACAGCGACAACTTGGCGTGGCGTTTGCCACACTACCCCATCTATCGTGCGCGAACGGCACTTGCCCTCAAGAGCTTACGTGGGCTACACGGGGGACCTTTGTATTTGTCTTCAAGGTGGTGCTAAGGCACTGACATCTGCCATTGCAACATCATCACCCATCACCTATGACCTTCACACCGGCATTGCTCCTCGAGCCCAATCACCACCATCACCATCATCATCATCCACAACATCAGCATTATCAGCAGTAGCAGCAGCAGCAAGATCCGCATGCTGAGATCGCTCAGAGTGAGCGAAACTTCTCTACTCCTCAGGGTTTTATAGCGCCGGTATTTATAACGCATCGCGTCAGAGATTTGCCTCCTGCACCACCACCACCATCATCATCACCCCCAACCCCGCCCCCCCGTCCCCTGCTCGCCCCGACTCATTGTTCGGAGCAGGAAACCCCTCGTCAGCTTCCCCCCCCCCCCCCGTGTGTCTCCCTCCGACCTGCCGCAGCACAGACGTTGACATCGCGGCCAGAGGGCACGGCCACTCGCCCCCCCCACCACTATCCCCACCAACGTCATCGCTCGCTCGCTCGCTCGCCCCCACCATCACCAGCATTGTCATCATTCACCACCACCACCATCGTCATCATCATTAACTCACCAGCACCGTCATCATCACTCACCACTACCAGCATCATCATCACTCACCACTATCACCATCGTCATCGTCATTAACTCACCACCGCCATCATCATCACTCACCACCACCAGCATCATCATCACTCACCACCATCACCAGCATCATCATCACTCACCACCACCATGATCATCACCACTCACCACCATCACCAGCATCATCATCACTCACCACCACCATGATCATCACCACTCACCACCATCACCAGCATCAACACTCACCACCACCATCATCATCATTCACTCACCACCATCGTCATCATTCACCACCACCACCATCGTCATCATCATTAACTCACCACCATCATGATCATCACTCACCACCACCACCACCAGCATCATCACTCACCACCATCATCATCATCACTCACCACCACCACCATCATCACTCACCACCACCACCATCATCACCACTCACCACCACCATCGTCATCATCACTCACCACCACCACCATCATCATCACTCACCACCACCAACATCATCATCACCACCACCAGCATCATCACTCACCACCACCATCATCATCACTCACCACCACCAGCATTATCATCACTCACCACCACCATCGTCATCATTCACCACCACCATCATCATCATCACCATCATCATCACTCATCACGACCTCCATCACTCAACACCTCCACCACCATCCTCACTCCCCCTTAGCCTCACCACCACCACCGTGCCACAGACTCATCAGTCAATGGTGATTGGCAAGGGATTTCTCCCTCTCTCTCTCTCTTCGGTGTGGGTCCCAGTTCGAGGCGAGCCCCTGCGAGGCACGACACGTCCCACCACCACCACCGCCACCACCACCACTACCTAGACAAACACACACACGAGGCGCCTCACTCACGTGGCATCTGTCCCTTGAGATTAAAACAAATACATCATGTTTCACACAGCACATGAACCACACACACACACACAAAGACAAAGATCCCCCGTATTGCCTGTAACAGACTATTGGGGCAAGTGTTAGCGAGCAGCACCAATGATGGCCGCGGAAAGCATACGAGGGGGTGGGTGGGTGGCCAGAACCACGCCCGACCGCCTTTGTCTCCCCAATGGCGATGTTTACACACCGCATCAGGTTCTCATTTGAGGCTGAATCGGTTCAGATAATCGTCACTGGGTGTTGGCCGTGAGCGGGAATCGAACTTGAGTCGTCGGGTTTGTAGCGCAGCGCAGCGCTAACCGCTACACTAGCGCTCCCCACACACACACACACCACACAAACTAAACACACACACCACACACACACACCACACAAACTAAACACACACACCACACACACACACCACACAAACTAAACACACACACCACACACACCACACCCACACCACACACACACACCACACACACACGACACACACACACCACACAAACTAAACACACACACCACACACACCACACCCACACCACACACACACCACACACACCACACACACACCACACACACACACCACACAAACTAAACACACACACCACACACACACACCACACAAACTAAACACACACACCACACACACCACACCCACACCACACACACACACCACACACACCACACACACACCACACACACACACACACCACACAAACTAAACACACACACCACACACACCACACAAACTAAACACACACACTACACACACCACACACACACCACACACACACCACACACACCACACACACCACACACACACCACACACACACACACCACACAAACTAAACACACACACCACACACACCACACACACACACACCACCCACACACCACACACTGACACACACGACACACACCACACATACACACCACATACTGACACACACCACACACACACAGCACACCACATACACACACTACACACACCACACACTGACACACCCACACACCACACACACTGACACACACCACACACCACATACACACCACACACACTGACACACGCCACACACAGCTATCAATTCTGCTTCAGTGATTCTGCACTTGCTCTATTACTATAGTACTATACCGCCTTCAACTTTTATGAACGACTGGGTGTTCAAGGTTTGCGATTTGTCGTATTACCTGGCCGTATATCAAATAAAAAAATACAATTACTTTACTGCGTAAGTAAAAAAAAATTTGTTTTTTAATATGTGAGTGTTCATTTATTTATTTAGGGCACCTTTATAACAAGAAATGCTACAGGCCCCGCACGAGCTTGGTCCCGCACTGGATGCACGCCTCTCCAACTTCGCTTGGCGTGAAGGGGGGTAGTGGATCTCTCGTCCGTGACTCCGCTCGATCACTTTCCCGCAAGACGCGCCGCGAGTTCGAGGCGAGCCGTGGGACACTCCGACTGATGCTCCTTCTGCTGTTGTGGAGTGACTCATGCAGCCAGCTATGGCTGCAGAGATTGGTGGTTCATGTTGTTTTTTTCGTCTTTATTGTGAAAATTCGGTCACAGTTCCTATGATCACTGTTTCATTGCTTTCATGGCTTTATTTTGGTGATTTTCGAAAAGTTTTTCGGTTTGGCCATGTTTATATACGCTCCAAGCTTGGTGGTGTTTCATTCTTCACCTGAGGACGGCTGCTTGCGTTGTGGCCGAAACGTCGTGAGAATTATTTTATTATGTTTTATTTTTATTATTTTATTATCTCCCTTCTACGTGACTTTACCGAAAGAACCAAGAAGTTGGCCATGTTTGTTTGTTGTAGTACGGAGTAAGACTGATGGCCTTAATCTAAGTTGTCTTGTTCTTGGTTCTTTCGGTAAAGTCACGTAGAAGGGAAATAATGAAGTAATAAAAATAAAACATCATTAAATTATTCTCACGACGTTTCGGCCACAACGCAAGCAGCCGTCCTCAGGTGAAGAACAGGTCTGTCGGAAAGACAGCGTCTGAATGACGCTGTCAGACCTGTTTTTCACCTGAGGACGGCTGCTTGCGTTGTGGCCGAAACGTCGTGAGAATTGTATTTTATGTTAGATTTTTATTATTTTATTATTTCCCTTCTACGTGACTTTACCGAAAGAACCAAGAAGATAAATCCCTGAAGTCACGAAAACTTTAAATCGTGAGAATTATTTTATTATGTTTTATTATTATTTTATTATTTCCCTTCTACGTGACTTTATCGAAAGAACCAAGAAGATGAATCCCTGCAATCACGAAAGCTTTAAATCGTGAGAATTATTTTATTATGTTTTATTATTATTCTATTATTTCCCTTCTACGTGACTTTATCGAAAGAACCAAGAAGATAAATCCCTGAAGTCACGAAAACTTTAAATCGTGAGAATTATTTTATTATGTTTTATTTTTATTATTTTATTATTTCCCTTCTACGTGACTTTACCGAAAGAACCAAGAAGATGAATCTCTGCAGTCACGAAAGCTTTAAATCGTCACAGAACTAGCTCTGAAGTGGCTTCAACACAGCGCTGTATCCACCGACAGGAGCGCTCCAGCATCTCTATGCCCTGTGCAGAGTGTTCGTCGCATGCCCGATCAACCACAAGTTTGACATTCTCAGAAATACAATTCAACCACATTCAGTGAACATCCACATTCAATGTGGTCATGTTTTCTGTTGTTGTGTGGGCGTGCAGACATTGGCGGCCGTGCTGAGAGCATCGACTTGACACTTGTGTGAACTCGGTTTAATCACAACCCAGCCGGTGAGTCTATGGGTCTCTGTGTGAGTCTATGGGTCTCTGTGTGAGTCTATGGGTCTCTGTGTGAGTCTATGGGTCTCTGTGTGAGTCTATGGGTCTCTGTGTGAGTCTATGGGTCTCTATGTGAGTATATGGGTCTCTATGTGAGTATATGGGCCTCTATGTGAGTATATGGGTCTCTATGTGACTATGGGTCTCTATGTGAGTATATGGGTCTCTATGTGAGTCTATGGGTCTCTGTGTGAGTCTATGGGTCTCTGTGTGAGTATATGGGTCTCTATGTGAGTCTATGGGTCTCTATGTGAGTCTGTGAGTCTCTATGTGAGTCTATGGGTCTCTGTGTGAGTATATGAGTCTCTGTGTGAGGCTATGGGTCTCTGTGTGAGTCTATGGGTCTCTATGTGAGTCTATGAGTCTCTGTGTGAGTCTCTGGGTCTCTATGTGAGTCTATGGGTCTCTATGTGAGTCTATGGATCTCTATCTGAGTCTATGGATCTCCATGTGAGTATATGGGTCTCTGTGTGAGTCTATGAGTCTCTATGTGAGTCTATGGGTCTCTGTGTGAGGCTATGGGTCTCTATGTGAGTCTATGGGTCTCTATGTGAGTCCATGGGTCTCTGTGTGAGTATATGGGTCTCTATGTGAGTCTGTGAGTCTCTATGTGAGTCTATGCGTCTCTGTGTGAGTATATGGGTCTCTGTGTGAGGCTATGCGTCTCTGTGTGAGTCTATGGGTCTCTATGTGAGTCTATGGGTCTCTGTGTGAGTCTATGGGTCTCTATGTGAGGCTATGGGTCTCTATGTGAATCTATGGGTCTCTGTGTGAATCTATGGGTCTCTATGTGAGTCTATGGGTCTCTATGCGAGTCTATGGGTCTCTATGTGAGTCTATAGATCTCGACGCGAATCGAGCACGCGTTTTGAAGGTGCGTCTTATAATCCGGATTTATTTTGCTGTGTCCGTGTGTACAAGTAGGCGGAGCGGTGGCGCAGCGGTTAGCGCACTGCACTGTGATACCTGAACTCCCCCTGGTGGACCCCCCCTCCCCAATCCCTTATCAGCAATCCGCACTGACCAGCGCGGTGAGGTATGGCCATTTCAAACGCCGTGACAGAAACGGCGTGCGGACAGAGAGAGAGGAGAGAGAGGAGAGAGATAAATAAATACGTTGCATAATAGTGAGTGAACCGTAGAGAGAAGAGGGCGGATATAAGAAAGCTCGAGCCGAAGGGAGAGAGAGAGAGAGACGTAGCCGAAGGGGAGAGAGAGGGGAGAGGCAGGAAACTTCTCGAGAAAGAGCCCAGGGAGGGGAGAGGAGAGATGCATGGGAGAGAACGGAGGGGGAGTTCTGTTTAGGAGGGGATAGATAGAAAGACAGGAGAGTGAGTTAGAGGTTTAGAGCGGGCAGTGAGAGCTAAAGGAGAGAGAGAGGGGGGTGGGGGGTAAAGAAGAGAGAGGCTGAGAGAGGCAGAATAGGAGAGTCGAGTTAGAGGGAGGTAAGGAGAGCACCGGAGAAAGAGGGGAGAGACAAGAGCGGGAATGGAGAGAGAGAGAGAGAGAGACAGAGAGAGAGCGAAATAAGATGGACAAGCACTAATCAGAGAGAGATGTGCGTTAGAGAAATAAACTTTTTTTTTTTAAACTTCGCAACAACTTTTATTGCCGCCAGCAGCAACAGCACTGGAGGCGATTCCGATATGAGAAAGCGCCGAAGGGGAGAGAGCGGAGAGAGAGCTGAGCTCCGTCGCTGACAGAGCGAGTGACTTGGAGCGACTTCGAGGCAGCTTTTATAGCAGCTCCAAAATATCTCACGGCGCGGCCCTGGGGCAAGCTGCATCCGGCCGATAAGAAAAAGTGGAGCCGTTCTCCCGTCAGCGCCACGGCTGCCGCTGCTGCCGCTGCCTCGTAGTCTCAGCGTCCCATGATCACAAACTCACGGGCACCCTGCCGAGTGAGGGAGGGGGAGGGAGGGGGCTGGTGGGGGGGGGGTCAACCCAGCAGGGATGCGGGAGAGAGAGTGGGGGTGAGTTTGGTCATCGGTCACACGAGGAACGCTGCGGCTGTGATGTCATCTGAATTGACGGGGACCTCGGCCGCCACAGCGAGCGGCTCCCGAGCGGAAGGCTTCGAGTTCAAAGCCGGGATGGGATTGGAGGTCGGCAGGGGTGGGAGGGGTTGACTCAACACATCATCTCTACCGGGTCGACAAAATGAGTACAGCTTTGTCGGGGAGAAATCAATGGATGGACCGGCCCCCGTCATAGGAACTTGACATTTCCATGCAGTGCTATGAGACCTCATTTACCAGTGGCAAAATATCGTAATAGGTTTTTAACCCTTTCAACTGACACAAAACTGACACCTTTATACAAGACATCATGTTTGCAATAACCACAACACAAGCAGTCAAAATGCAAACAAAACGAAACAACTCTGATAATGATACCAGTTGAAAGGGTAAAAACCTATTACTATATTTTGCCACTGGTAAATGAGGTCTCATAGTGTAAATGCTTTCCCCGAGCTCTCAATACTCTGATAGTGCACTGTCGTTAGAGTTGTACGCCTTTTGGCGTCATCTGGTCCAACACCAATGGAGACTAGGCACTAAGAAAAGCTGTCTCGGGTGTGGACCAATCAACTTCAAGGACAGTGCATATCATCATCATCAGAGATTATTCGTTTTCTTTGCATTTTGACTGCTTGTGTTGTGGTTATTGCAAACATGATGCCTTGTATAAAGGTGTCAGTTTTGTACCAGTTGAAAGGGTAAAAACCTACTACTATTTCCATGCAGTGGCTGTGAAGTGGAGGTGAGGGCAGCTGGCTCTGAACAGGGCACTGCTGCAGTTTGTAAAACTCCGTGAACAATCTTTTGATGTGGTTTTCTTCTTTTTTTAAACCGTCACGATTATTCATCTCTTACGATATTTCACCAAGATAATCCCACGAGAGGGAACATCTCGTCTGCATTGGGTGTCCGGGATGGCAAGTGACAAAAACAAAGATCCCCCGTATAGCCTTAACAGACTGTAGGGGCAAGTGCTGTTAGCGAACACCTATGAAGGCCGGAACGGTACACGAGGGGGTGGGTGGCCAGCACCACGCCCGGCCGCCTTTGTCTCCCCAGTGGCGATGTTTACACACCTCACCAGGTACTCATTTGAGGCTGAGTCGTCATAGGGGAGGCCCGGGACCGGTTCAGATAATCGTCACTGGTGTTGGCCGTGAGCGGGAATCGAACCCGTGTCGCCGGGTTCATAGCGCAGCGCGCTAGCCGCTACACCACCGCTCCCCACTACACTGACACACACTGACACGAGCACTGACACACACACACTCCCCACAAGTGACAGACTTGTGTCACGTGACAGATACACACACACACGGCAAAACACGTGTTCAAGCGTGCACGTAGAGACACGCGGATCTGTGGGTGGGTGGCTCAGGAGGGTTGGTACATGAAGGCCGTGTCGTAGACTATGAGCCCGCACCAGTGATTGAACCACGTTTTCAAGTCTCGCGAGGTTATTCATTTATTCGTGTATTTAACCCAGGGTGGTCTCACTGAGTCTCAAAGACTCTTTTTTTTGTCAGGAGGGTCCTGCCCAGTTTGTCTGCTGCGTATCATCCCCATCGATCCATTTCGCAGGGGGATGTTTCAATGTTTCAGCAACGGGACGGATGTTTGGCCAGTGCAGCGTACCCGGGACACTGCGAGTGGAGAGTTGAGCCGTGGGAAGTTGATGGCCGCACGCAACACACTCGACACGTGACAAAAAAACACACACGTGGGCTTTCTCTTAATTTGGGTAAAACGAAAAAAAAAAGTTACAGCTCTCAAAAATTGAAAGTCAAAACGTGCAAGTTTCACCCGCACGCGGCAAAACGTTGCTCAGTAGCGGTGCGCGTGGTGGTGGGGACTGAGTAGCGACCCGAGTGTGGATCACAGGTGACTCGAAGGGATATCAGACGTGATTCTGCGGTAGCTCCTTCCGCGGCCCATTTATGTTCACGGGGAAAAGTATATTTGATGCTCCAGAATTTATAGATTTAGTCCAGTCGCTCGCTCATCGCCGGTTATTCGCCTTCTTATCACTGTTCTATCGCTATGGCAATTGTTAATCTTCCAGGGAACTTCACTCAATTGTTGATTCCACCACCCGTGTTGAGGACTCCGTCTGCGAGACACTCGCTGTGTCGTCTCATCCACCACACCGCATCCAACCACCGCCACACTGCAGATCACAATAACCCACTCACCCACTCACGCAGCCACTCACTCATTCACTCACCCACTCACTTATTCACCCACTCACCCACCCACTCACTCACGCACTGACTGACTCACCCACTCACCCACTCACTCACGCACTCACCCACTCACTCACCCATCCACTCACTCACTCACCCACCCATTCACTCACCCACTCACTCACTTACCCACTCACGCACTCACCCACCCACTCACTCACTCAATCACTCACTCACCCACTCACTCACTGACCCACTCACTCACCCAGTCACTCACCCACTCACTCATCCACTCACTCACACATCCACTCACCCACTCATTCATCCACTCACCCATCCACTCACTCACTCATCCACTCACCCACTCACTCATCCACTCACCCACTCACGCATTCACTCAATCACTCACTCACCCACTCATTCACCACACTCCCGGTCACCACACTTCTCTGTACGCTTTTTTCCTCCCACTGCTCCACTTTGGAATTCACTGCGCCCACCACCGTCTCGTTTACACCCAAGTTCGTACAACAATAACAACCTTGCTCAATTCGAGATACGCGTTGACTGTCATCAACGTTGTAACGTTCTGACCTGCCCCGACTGGGCATCTGTGACAAGAGCGATGTTTAAGCTCGTAAGATTCCTCCGGTATAAATAAATATTCTTTATTCCGATACTTCACATTGACTCGTGCTGTGTATTTCAGGCCGCGGTATGTCTCGGCGTCTTTGTGAGTCCTGCGTTCGACAAGCGCCATGCACGGAAGCCACGCGGACCCCCGAAGAGAGACACAGAAAGAGAGAGGGAAAGAGAGAGAAGGGGGGGGGGTGCAATCCAAGACACCCCGAGCTGCCAAAGAGAGCGAGCAACCTCCCTCTGCGCCCAAGGAAGACGTCTGCCGTTGTCTCTCTCCCTCCCAAAGGTCACCGTGCACCCAGCCTGGCACTTCCCGCCGCCTGGCCCGGCCCCTGACGCATGCAACTTGGAGATCCCTGGGGGTGCGGACTTGGGTTTCCTGGAGAGACCCCAAATCGTGAGCATCTGACCCCCCGTCGAAAACAAATTATCTCCCTAGAGAGATTCAAGAGGACCACGCCAAAGTCTTTACCGATCTGGTGTCATTATGTGCTCGTGTTTTATTAGCATTGTCTTTAAAAATATAGATGTTTTTTTACGAGAACAGTCGCGAACGGGAGCAACACAACAACGTTTACGAGCGCGCTCGACGCAAACATCTCCACGTGGGAGTCACGTGGGGTCACGCGGGAGTCACGTGGGGTCAAGCAGGACCCACGTGATCGCGGCGGGTCCAGAGACAAAGACGTCGGGATAAATAATTATATATTATCTCCCGTTCACAGCCAGTTGCGGAAATTCCACATTCCTATGGCGGGGATCGGCCTTTTCGTAGGACAACCAGCGTTGACTTCCAGCACAAAGTAGTACTCATTTTAGCGACATTGTAGGGATGATGTGCTCAATGAACCCCACACCGTCAACCAGGATTTGAACTCGTCAACCTCGCTCCAGACTCGTGTTAACTCCTCTTGACACTGGGTACACGGGGGGTGCGTCTTACTTACCGGCGTGTCTTACAAATCCGGATAAACACTGCAATGTTTGAATTGAAATGACATAACGAACTTTTTTTTGCGTGCGCGTGTGCGTGTGTGTAATGTGTGAAAGCCAAGACTCAAATTAATCTCGTCGCTCGGGAAATTAAACACGGATTAGCTCGGAGCTGACAGATTGATCGCTGCGAGAGCTGAACTCACCACACGAAGCTGTGTCGTGACACGTGGTGTCACGGGCAACCAACATACTCAGACGGACAGCGCAACTGCTGAGCACGTGGGCTGCCCCCTCCACACAGAGCGTCTCCATCTGCGCATGCCGTCAGCAACGTGACCTTCTGTGATATGCATCGACATTATCAGCATTGTTTAATAATGATACGGGTGCTTCAACAAAAATGTGTGTTAACACTTCTGAGAATTTGCTACAATAATACCGCAAGAAATGTGCCTCCTGCGAGCTCTGGAGACCACCTGGAGAAGATCGTTGGCAACGACGGCGAACAAATAGGAGACTAGTTCTTGGTTCTTTCGGTAAAGTCGTCACGTAGAAGGGAAATAATAAAATAATTACAAATATAAAACAGGAAAAATTCTCACGACGTTTCGACTGCAACACTTGTTGTGGATTTCACACCTGATGATGATTGCTATTATTTTATTATTTCCCTTCTACGTGATGACTTTACCGAAATAACCAAGAATATGAATCCCTGCAGTCACAAAAGCTTTAAATCAAAATTTAAGTGTAAGTGTTAACCTTTTTTTGAAGCACACTAATTCAAATTTACAACGCGGAATTCCATCCTGGGCTCCCAATGCGTAGCGCATAAAAAAAAAATCAGAAAACAAAAACAGAACCAGCAGGGTAACCGACCAAACTAAAGAAGGAAGGGACACTTTAACGAGATGCCGTTTTCAAAGCAAACTTAAATACGATCAGTGGAAACAAGAAGATGCTCGGTGTAGTCGGCACTTTGCTTCGTTCATCATTTCGTCATTATTTTTTTTTTACTTTGCTTTATGTAAACCCCCACCTCTCGCTCACTCTCTCGCTCACTCTCTCGCTCACTCTCTCGGCCACTCTCTCGCTCACTCTCTCGCTCACTCTCTCGGTCACTCTCTCGCTCACTCTCTCGCTCACCCTCTCGCTCACTCTCTCGCTCACTCTCTCGGTCACTCTCTCGCTCACCCTCTCGGCCACTCTCTCGCTCACTCTCTCGCTCACTCTCTCGCTCACTCTCTCGCTCACTCTCTCGGCCACTCTCTCGCTCACTCTCTCGCTCACTCTCTCGCTCACTCTCTCGCTCACTCTCTCGCTCACTCTCTCGCTCACTCTCTCGGCCACTCTCTCGCTCACTCTCTCGGTCACTCTCTCGGTCACTCTCTCGGTCACTCTCTCGCTCACTCTCTCGGTCACTCTCTCGGTCACTCTCTCGCTCACTCTCTCGCTCTCTCTCGTTTTGCACGCAACCCTTCTCGCAGTCCGACGGCCTCCGACGGGTAGCTCATATACTCTTTGGTTCTTTCGGCAAAGTCACGTCGGTAGAAAATAATAGAGCACGACGTTTCGATCGCAACGCAAGCCATCATCGTCATCAGGTGAGACAATGATGACGGTCGCTTGTGTTTGCGATCGAAACGTCCGTGCTCTATTATTCTCTACCCACGTGACGTTACCGTAAGAACCAAAGTGTATGGATTCCTGCAGTCACGAAAGCTTCAAATCAAGATGAAACTTAAATATATCTACCGACTCTGATTGCCCTGATTTCAAGTGGCGAGGCGTTCCATGGCTTGGGTGCCACTCTAACAAAAGCACCGATCACCAAAAGAGCGCAACCTGTAGACCTGGGAGTGCTGAGCAGTTGAAAATCAGAAGATCTGAAGGACCTTGATGGAATATATGAATGTAATAAGTTCCTGGTTCTGTACGAGCACCACTCTGGACCGGGTGTCTGGCTGGCTCGCTGGAACTAATCGCTGCGGGGTGGAGTGCCAGATGTGTAGAGGCGGTAACCCACGTGTCTCTCTCTCTCTCTCTTCGATATGGCTCCTCGTTCGACGCAAAATCCTAAAAATATACAACGCAGAATTAATCACGGCGTGCGTTCCATAGCATGCAAAGACAAATATCCCCCGTGTAGCTTTAACATACTGTTGGGGCAAGTGCTGTTAGCGAGCACCTATGAAGGCCGGAAGGGCACACGAGGGGGTGGGTGGCCAGCACCACGCCCGGCAGCCTTTTTCCTCCCTAGTGGCGAAGTTTATACACCGCATCAGGTACTCATTTTGAGGCCGAGTCGACCTATGGGAGGCCCAGGACCGGTTCAGATAAATCGTCACCGGTGTTGACGGTGAGCGGGAATCGAACTCGCGTCGTCGGAGTGGCCTAGCCGCTACACTACCGCTCCCCACACACAGCATACACACACAACAACAACATCATCATCATCGTCATCATTAGCATCTTCATCATCATCATTAGCATCATTAGCATCTTCACCATCATCATCATTAGCATCTTCACCACCACCATCATCATCATCATTAGCATCTTCATCATCATCATCATTAGCATATTCAACATCTTCATCATCATTAGCATCTTCACCACCATCATCATTAGCATCCTCACCATCATCATCATGCCCACTGTGTCACGCTCGCTGCGTTTTACCCGCCCTCGTTGTTGTGAGTTGGAATCAGCTCACGGCGCGGTAAAGGCAGTCGATGCGTGGGATTGTTAGAGGGCTCGAGCGTGAGAAGTGGGTGGGTGGCGGTAGGGGCTTCGGGCGGGGGGGGGGGCTTCACCCAGCAGTGGATAGACCATGGCTGCTGATGATGATGATGACGATGCTGCTGCTGATGATGATGGGGAGGGAGGCGGCGTGGAGCTCTCGACGCGTGCAACAACCACGGCGAGCCGCTGGGGAACAATTGTAACGCTATCGATATGAACCCAATTGACGTAAGGGGAGAGATTTTTTTATATATAAACAAGGGGGTTTGTGAAATGCCCATCTCTGTTGCTGGGCGTGTGAGTCATTGTGCGAGCAGACATTTGTTGCCCTTATCGCAGCTGCTGCTTGCTGCTGTTGTTGAGAAATGGTCGTAAAAGTGGCCCCTGCTGTTGTGGTATTGTCTTGGCCGCGCTGTGGAAACGGAGTGGCGTTGCCTCCCCAGTGCTCGTGAGATCGGTTCAACGCCACGTTGCGGAGTTCGTTCCCATGCCGGGATCGAGTCTGTCCACAGGACTAACAGCTGTTGTGATGTATTGGTGATAAGATGACGATGATGACGATGACGCAGTGATAGCAAGAACAATGCTGCTGCTGATGATGATGATGTACATTTACACGAGGTTGCATAATGATGATGGTGGAAGTAATGAGGGCGCCACGGTGGCTAGGAGATGTTAGCTACCTCGCCTGGTATACAGGAGGCCGTGGGTTCGGTCACAATACTGACGCCTGCTGCTGTGTATTTGGAGTTTGTGGCGTCTCTCTCTCTCTCGCCGTAGTAGCGTGGATTTTTCTCCGGGTCCTCCGATTTTGCCCTTCCACATTTAGACAGTCCCTCAAGAAAAACGCGGAGTTTTTTGGTGATTGTTGCGGGCAAAAATCGTTGATTATGCGGCACGTTTTCTTAAAAAATGCGATGGAATATGCGGGATATTTATGCAATTTTATGCGATTAAATTGTGGGAACTTGCAAAAACTGCGGTTTGATGAAAAAGAGAAAAAAAAGTGATTCCCCCAACACCCTATTCACTAGGCTACTACTTTAATGTAAAGAGTCATTTCTTATTACTTCCTATGATAAGCAAGCATACTACATCACAGAAAGTGCGGGGAATATTTAAGTTCTCATCTTGTTTTACAAAACATTGAGTCGAACAAGTTCTGTAGCTTTACAAAATGAATATGCTACAACTTCTGTAAAAATGAATAAATAAAATATTAAAAAATAAAATGTGTGCTTCCTGTTTTACAGAGGTAGCTATACAAAACAGACATCTTCTGTTAAAATAAGTGTTTTCAGTGCACAGTAACGTAAGCAATACAGTAACAGTACAGTCTTACAGTAATGTAAATTTACATACTACTAACAAAAAAGTGCATTCTTACAACTGTAAAGTTGCATAAACTCCTGAATAAAACTAACTACGTAGCCTCTAACACTTCATAACGTTCCCATGGCAACAGGGGAAATGGCTGCGCTTGTGTGAAGTAAACGCAACATTTTTCA